TTACCCCAAATTTTCTTTTTTCTTTTCTTTTTTGAGACAGAGTCTTGCTCTGTTGCCCAGGCTGGAGTGCAATGGCCTGGTCTCAGCTCACTGCAACCTCTGCCTCCCAGGTTCAAGTGATTCTCCTGCCTTAGCCTCCCAAGTAGCTGGGATTACAGGTGCACACCACCATGCCTGGCTAATTTTTGTATTTTTAGTAGAGATAGGGATTCATCATGTTGGCCAGGCTGGTCTCAAACTCCTGACCTCATGATCCACCAGCCTTGGTCTCAAACTCCTGACGTCGTGATCCACCAGGCTTGGCCTCCCAAAGTGCTGGGATTACAGGTATGAGCCACCAGACCCAGCCAACAATTTTCAAGTATACATTGTTACTAACTATAGTTACCATGTTGTGCACTGGAGCTCTTGAATTTATTCCCCCTGTCTAAATGAAATGAAATTTTGTATCCTTACCCCCAATATTCTTTGCTTTTCTTTTTTTCTTTCCTTTTTTTTTTTTACTTGAGACAACAGTCTTGCTTTGTTGCCCAGGCTGGAGAGCAGAGATGCTGTCTCGGCTCACTACAACTTCTGCCTCCGAGGTTCAAGTGATTATCCTGCCTCAGCCTCCCAAGTAGCTGGATTACAGGTTCCTGCCATCATGTCTGGCTAATTTTTGTATTTTTAGTAGAGACAGGGCTTCCCCACATTGGCTAGGCTGGTCTCAAACTCCTGACCTCGTGATCCACCAGCCTTGGCCTCCCAAAGTGTTGGGATCACACCAACACTTTGGGAGGTGTGAGCCACTGCAGCCAGCCCCAATGTTTTCCTTCCAAGCATCCTTTATCTGATGCCATCTGCCCCACTAGAATATCTGCTCCCAAAAGGCAGGTGCTCTCTCCTATTCACTACAGGATCTCCAGCTTACAGCTGTGCCTGGCACATGACTAGAGTTCCATAATTCATTTAATATATAAATGAAAGAAACGAACAGAGAAGTGAAAAAGAGAAGAACAGGGCCAGGCACAGTGGCTCACACCTGTAGTCTCAGCACTCTGGGAAGCTGAGGTGGAAGGACTGCTTGAGCTCAGGCTAGGCAACACGGTGAAACTCTGCCTCTACAAGAAATACAAAAATTAGCTGGGTGGGGGGCCCACTCCTGTAGTCCCAGCTACTCGGGAGGCTGAGGCAGAAGAACTGCTTGAATCTGGGAAGCTGGGGCTGCAGTAAGCTGTGATCACGCCCCTGTAGACTAGCCTGGGTGACAGAGTGAGACCCTGTCTCAAAAACAAAAAAGTAAAGAGATGAACAGATAATTTGGCAGTGGTTCTCAAAATTCCCCGTGTACATACCCTTTGACCCAGCAATCCTACTTGCACTTCAAATGAGATAGTCTACTGATAATACTGTCATAGATACACAGTCACATAATCACAAGGATATTAACTGTAGCATAATCTCAGCACTTTGGGAGGCTGAGGCAGGAGGACTGCTTGAGCCAGGAGTTTGAGACAGCCTGGGCAACACAGTGAGACCCCATCTCTACAAAAAATAAATTGGCTGGGTGTGGTAGCGGATGCCTGTGGTCCCAGCTACTCCGCAGGCTGAGGTGGGAGGATTGTTTAAGCCCAGGAGGTTGAGGCTGCAATGAGCCACAATTGTGTCACAGAACTCCAGCCTGGGTGAGACAGTAAGACCATGTCTGAAAAAGAACAATTAGAAAACAGAAACATACACATAAAACCCCACAGCAAATGTTTATAAGAGCAAAAGTTCAGTAACAGACTAAACACTCATCAACAGAGAAAGTGTTAAAGTATGATCTATCTCCAGAACAGCACACCATGCCACTAATAAAAAAAGGCAGCTCACTAGGTGCCTGACTAGACACCGACTCATCACCAGGCTGGCTCCCTGGTACCATAGAAAAAGTATAGGCTTGCTCTGGAGTGAGACAGGCTTGGGTCTGAATCCAAGCCCTGCTGCTTCCTGGCTACTGGGCTTTCGGTAAGGCCCTTCTCTCTTTCAGGGTAATGTGTCTACATCTGGTTTGTTTGTTTGTAGACAGAATCTCACTCTGTTGCCCAGACTGGAGTGCAGTGGTGCGATCTCAGCTCACTGCAACCTCTGCCTCCTGGGTTCAGGTGATTCTCATGCCTCAGCCTACTGAGCAGCTGGCAATACAGGTGCCTGCCACCATGCCCAGCTAATTTTTGTGTTTTTAGTAGAGATGGGGTTTCACCATGTTGATCAGGCTGGTCTTGAACTCCTGACCTCAGGGGATCCACCTGCCTTGGCTTCCCAAAGTGCTGGAATTATAGGTGTGAGCCACCATGCCCGGCCAACATCTGTTAAACAAATAGGGGAGGTCATAATGATGTATATAAAGCAGAGAACACACAGCTTGGCACACAGTGGGCCCAAGGTCAATGCCAGGCCTCTTCTTTCCCACTTTTAAGAAAATTCTACCTCTGAAGGTTGCCCTGACATGAAACTGGCAATGGTAGGTGATCTGGGGTTGAGAAATTCAGATAAGAAAAACAGATATGGCCTGAGCCGAAGAAGTAAAATTGGACACTCGACAGACATAATACAGAGATGGCCTGTCATTTTGTATTTTTGTCAAACACCCAGAATCTCTCCCCAGAATCAATCAGTGGACTCAAGTCAGTCTGGGTAACTGGTGTTTCTGTCTACCTGTGGCAGCCTGGAGGTGGCTCCACCTGGTACTGGTGCTGGGACAATGACGCAGGGGTGAGGCCTGGAGGGGAGAGGGCTGCTCAGATTCTACAGCTATCATCACGGTAGATCACAAAATAACAGTGATGACACACAGCGCTGCTAGGCAGCAGGCACTATTCTACACACTCTCACCCATTTAATGCTGGTGACAACAGTGTAAGGTTATACCACACCCATTTCACAAACAGGGACGTAGAAGTAGACACCATTAAGGTACTTGGTCAAGGTCAGCCGCTGTTTGTGTTAACTCAATACATGCTCTTAACTCCAATGCTTTATTATAACAGCAACTCCAGAGGGAAACCAGGAGCCAGGGCTTTAGGAATGGAAACTGGAAACCAGAGGTAGAGACTTACTTTTTTTTTTTTTTTTTTTGAGACGAAGTCTTGCTCTTGTTGCCCAGGCTGGAATGCAATGGTGCGATCTCGGCTCACCGCAACCTCCGCCTCCCAGGTTCAAGCGATTCCACTGCCACAGCCTCCTGTGTAGCTAGGATTACAGGCATGTGCCACCACACCCGTCTAATTTTGTATTTTTCGTAGAGACGGGGTTTCTCCATGTTGGTCAGGTTGGCCTTGAACTCCTGACCTCAGGTGATCTGCCCACCTTGGCATCCCAAAGTGCTGGGATTATAGGCGCGAGCCATTGAACCTGGCTGGAGACTTACTTTTACTATATACAGCCAGAGAGGTTTGAATTGTGTATGTACATGTAATACCTGTTCAAATATAATCTAAAAAAAAAATATATATATTTTAGGCTGGGCACGGTGGTTCCTGCTAGCACTTTGGGAGGCCGAGGTGGCTGGATCACTTGAGGTCAGGAGTTGAAGACCACAGCCAGGCAAAACTCCGTCTCTATTAAAAATAAAAAAAAAATTAGCCAGGCATGCTGGCGGGCCCTGTAATCCCAGCTACTCGGGAGGCTGAGGCAGGAGAATTGCTTGAATTCAGGAGGGAGAGGTTGCAGTAATTCGAGATCGTGCCACTGCACTCCAGCCTGGGCGACAGGGCGAGCCTCCGCCTCTAAATAAATAAATAAAATAAAAATAAATAAAGTTTCAAATAAAAAGCGAGAACTTTCCCATTTACCCACTCCACTCACTGGGCAACAGCCGGCCCTTCCGACTGCTCATGCGCCCTCCAAGCCACGCCCCTCGCCCAATGCTTCCCTTTGGCGCGCGCAAGGCTCCGCCCGCGGGCGTTTAAATTTGTGATACTGCAGCGGATTCCCCCTTCCAACGCGGCCTTCGAGGGTTTTGAATGTCGTTCTATCTCGGGCTATTCTGCATCTCCCAAGCCTTAAGGATTAACCTGACACGCAAGACCCTTCAAGGTCTGACCTGCCCACTCTGCTGCCTCACCTTCCATCCGGGGGGACCCTGAATCCAAGCCAGTCTAGACCTCTTTCCCGGGTCTTGGTCGCCTTTGCTTAGCTGTCCCCTGGAGTGCCCTAGCCTGCCTGTCCTTCAAGGTCCAACCGGACCTGCGCCCTTTCCTAAGTGATTTGAGGCCCTGGCAGTCTCCACAGGCCGGGTGTGTGAGGCAGGCGCACGCCAAGTCTGATTCATTCCTGTGTTCTTGGCACTCAGCCCAGAACAGTGAAATTCCTCCCTGTCGCTCCACCCCACCGCATCCCGCCAACATCACTGAAGAGCCACGATTCGAACCACAGATCCGGGCTGTTTTCCCTCCCGCTCCCTGGCGTATCCATTTCTCCACTCATCTCCCCACCCTCAACCCCCAACCACACACACGCGCATTGAGTCAGAGCCGCGGCGCCCCTCCACCTCCCCCTTCGGAACTCGCATGCGTGCTGAAGCCGACCTCCTCCGTCCACGCATGCTCAGCCCGGCGCGCGCGTTCCTTTCTCGCGCGTTGAGCTCTCAGCGCATGCGCAGGACAAGCCGCCTGCGGGACCTGATCTCAGTTTGGCCTCGCGTTACCTCCTCCTCCTCTTCCTCCTTCAGGCCAGCTTTCCTTAGGAGCCGCATCCGGGACGCCCAGGCCGGTTCCGGAGTGGGGGGGTGCCCACTTTCTCTCTTTCCCACGTTCCTGGCCCTCAGACGCCATTTGCAGGCGTGTGGCTTGGGTCAGCCTCCCCGCCCCCACCCGATTCCTGTCACGGGAGAGCGCACACAGCACCCCGAGAACCAATCAGCAGCCGTCTTAGGTAAGGGGCCCGCGAGCTCGCGCACCGGTAGGGGGCGGGGCGCGCCGGCAGGCCACGCCCCCGCCTCGGCTGTTAAAAGCTCGCTGGGATGTCCGGTGGGAGTGCGGCACTGAGTAGGGGGCTGGTGGCTGTCTGTTCGATCCTGGGTTGGCAGGAATGGGGGCGGGGGACGGAAATAACGTGTAAATAAGAAACTTCTGCTCTACGAGATCCAAGTAGAGCCTGCAGAATGCCCGTCAAGTACTGAGGAGGCCGCCTCAATAACGTGTAAAGAGAAACTTGAGTTGGGTTCCCTCTGGGAAGCTTTGTAAATCGATGGCTAAATCCGAGGGAGGCCCTCCTCTAGGAGCCCATAGAGAGAAGTTTAAGTCCTAGGCTGTTCTTAGGAAAATGTGTAAATTGACTACAGTTGTGGCGTGAGGCGTGCCCCACGAGGTGGGCTTAAATACTCAGAAATCGGAGCGTCTCCCCAGATATTTGCAGGTAGCCACTGAGGCTTTGGGAGATACCCGAAGGGAGTGTGAAACGATGTCTAAATACTGAGGAGAACCCCCCCAAAAATGTAAATTAGATTGTTAATTTTCGGGAGGTCACCCTAGGTGTCCATCAGTAGACACTTAAATAGAATGACTTTTGTAAGTTTGGGGGAAATCTCCCAAAGGAGCCTGGAAACGGCATTGGAGGTACCCGCTTGCATATGGGTGGGCTTTTTTTTTTTTGAGACAGAGTCTCGCTCTGTCGCCAGGCACCACGCTGGAGTGCAGTGGCGCGATCTCGGCTCACTGCAAACGCCACACCTGGCTTAGGTGGGCCCTTAAGTTCCAAGGAACTTCTCACATTCAGATACTGTGGAAGCCCCCAGAATAAAAGGCACAGGGAGGGCAGGCACTCCTGGAATGCCATCACTTTGGAAGGCCGAGACCGGGCGGATAACTTGAGGCCAGGAGTTGGAGACCAGCCTGGCCAATATGGCGAAATCCCCCTCTACTGAAAATGCAAAACTTAGCCGGGCCTGTGCCTGTAATTCCAGCTACTTGGGAGGCTGAGGCAGGAGAATTGCCTGAACCCGAGAGGCAGAGGCTGCAGTGAGACCGCGCCATTGCACTTCCGCCTGGGCAACAGAGAAAAACTGTCTCAAAAGAAAACCCAAAAACGAAAAAAAGTGCGCACAGGGCGCTTGCTTTGCGCAGGAAGGGCATCCTCATAAGCCAGAAACTTCCGGGCTCGGCAGAATCCCAGTTGAGGCATGAAGACAGGCACTTAAGCACTGGGTAGGATTTCAGAGTAATGTGTTAAGACACTTAATTGCAAGGAAGGGAGGAGTCTCAGGTTCTGGGGAGAGTCTCCATCTGAGACTGTAAGCAGTCATTTGGGTATTTTCCCTAAGCATCTGTAAACAGACTCTTGTCCTCCTCAGTCTAGGAAAGCAGTCTTCACCCTGGCTTGTGGTGGGGAAGAGGTCACGTGGCACAGTGAGAGAGGAGCTAGACAGGCCTCTTGTCTGGCTAGCAAAATTACATCTACATCTTGTAAACAGACCCTTTAGTTCTCCAGAGTCTTGGAGGGACCTGTTTATGTTATTATGTACTGAGGTGGGGCTGGGGTGGATTCATGGAGGGATTTAACAGATACTTCCAAGCTAAGCAAGGGTCAGCAAACTTTTTTTTTTCTTTTTGAGACAGGGTCTTGCTTTGTTGCCCAGGCTAGAGTGCAGTGGTGCAGCATGGTCACAGCAGCCTTGACCTCCCAGCCTCAAGTGATCCCACCACCTCAGCCTCCTAAGTAGCTGGGACTACAGGTGCATGCCACCACCCCCAGCTATTTTTTTTTTTTCAATGTTTTATATAGACAGGATCTTGCTATGTTGCCCAAGCTGATCTCGAACTTCTGGCCTCAAACAGTCCTCAGGTCTCGGCCTCCCAGAGTGTTGGGATTACAAGTGTGAGCTGCCATACTTGGCCATTCAGTAAAACTTTCTGTAAAGGCCAGAGAATAATTATTTTAGGCCTTGCAGACTGTACTGCCAGTCTCAACTACTCAGCTCTGACACTGCATCAAGAAGGCCGCTGCAGACAGTTTGTAAATTGATGGATGTGGCCATGTTCTGATAAAACTTTCTATTTACAAAAACAGAAGGCAAACCAGATTTGGCCCATAGGCCTGACCTCTGAGCTTGAGCAGATAGCCCCATAGAGTTCTACAAACAGTTAAGTAGTCAAAGACCACCCTCGAATGATGTGTGAGCAGCTGGGAAAACTCCAGGGACCTGTAAACAGATACTAAAATGGTGGAGAGTGGGTTGCATAGGTAGCCAGGCATTATATAATATCTTAAATAAACACTGGGGACGACTTGGAATGAAATTCAGTGTGAGGAAAGGCAGACCATCAGGAACGGAAGACAGACACGAATTGTAGCGGGATACCAGGTGAAAACAGGCCCTTGAGTGCTGGAGCCCCACCACGACATACACTAGTAATGGCTAATCAAGAGTAGCTTTTGGACTAAGGATCACATTGCTGGTTTGTAAGGAAATGCCTTGCAGCATTTTGGTAAGGAGAATATCCTTTTTTTTTTTTTGAGATGGTGTTTTGCTTGTTGCCCAGGCTGGAGTGTAGTGGTGCAGTCTTGGCTCACTGCAACCTCCGCCTCCTGGGTTCAAGTGATTCTCCTGCCTCAGCCTCCTGAGTAGCTGGGTTTACAGGTGCCCGCAGCTAATTTTTTGTATTTTTAGTAGAGATGGGGTTTCACTATGTTGGCCAGGCTGATTTTGAACTCCTGACCTCAGGTAATCCACCTGCCCCAGCTTCCCAAAGTGCTGAGATTTACAGGCATGAGCCACTGCACCCAGCTGAATGTCCCATTTTTATGTGAATTTTCCCCTATAAATTTATTTATGTTGGAGTATGTTAATAGTTGGGAATAGTTTTGGCTGCAAGTAAGAGATAGATGTGTATTTGTTTTTCACTGCCTCTCAAAGTAGGCGATTCAAAATTAACATGGAACCCCCCAACCTTTTGTCTCGTTTTACTGTACCTTCTATTAAGTTGCCTTATAGCTCAAGACAGCTGCTTGAGCTCCAACCTCCACACCCACATTCCTGTTACTGGGAGGAAGAGGCAAAAGGCATTGCCAGAATCTGTAAAGGGAAGTTTCTGGAAGCTGCCAAGCCATACTTCTAGTGTCATACCATAGCCAGAAAGTACTTAGTCAGATGGGCACACCTAACTGCAAACAAGGATGAGAACTGTCTTCTGGATAGCCGTGTGCCTACCTCAGAACTGAGGGTTTTACTTCTTTGGAAGAAGGCAGGAGGGGATGTTGGGAGCCAGCTTGCAGTTGCTGCCACAAGCCCAGAGTTCTGTTGAAAGGAAGGGCCTTAGCCAAGCACAGTGGCTCACGCCTGTAATCTCAGCATTTTGGGAGGCCGAGGCAGGTGGATTGCCTGTGGTCAGGAGTTCAAGACCAGCCTGGCCAACATGGTGAAACCCCATCTCTACTAAAAATACAAAAATTAGCCAGGCATGGTGGTGGGCACCTGGAATCCCAGGTACTTGGGAGGCTGAGGCAGATGAATCCCTTGATCCCAGGAAGCCAAGGTTGCAGTGAGCCGAGATCTAGCCACTGTGCTCCAGCCTGGGTGACAGAGACAGACACCATCACCATCTCTAAAAAAAAAAAAAGAAAGGAAGGGCCTTCATACAGTGTCTGGGGTATGCCGAGTAGAGCAGGAAGAGACTCTGTCATCCTGAAATCCCCTCACTCCCTCCATAGGTGACCATGTCTGAGTCTGGACACAGTCAGCCTGGACTCTATGGAATTGAGCGGCGGCGACGGTGGAAGGAGCCTGGCTCTGGTGGCCCCCAGAATCTCTCTGGGCCTGGTGGTCGGGAGAGGGACTACATTGCACCATGGGAAAGAGAGAGACGGGTGAGTGTCTGGACCCAGGAGCAGCATTCATGTGTCTAGTTGTTCCACAAATGTTCATTGAGCACCTGCCATGTGCCAGGCACTAATCCAGATGCTGGGGGTACATCTGTAAACAAAACCCACTGCCTTCATGGGTAAAGAAGGTAGAGAGTCATAAAGGGGACTGTTTTAGGGACCGTCAGAGAACGTCTCTCTGAAGAGGTGACTTTTTAGGAGAGACTTGAAGGAGATGAGGGAATAAGACATGCCAAAATCTGAGTTGAAGAGCCTTCTAGACAGAACAGCAAGTGCAAAGGCCCTGGGGTGGCGTGTTCAAGGAGTAGCCAGAGGAAGCCAGGATGGTTGCAATGGATGAGGAAGGAGGGAGAGAGATAGGAGGTGAAGTCTGAGAGGTAATGGGCCAAATCATGTAAGACCTGGTAGGCCTTGGAAAGAACTTTGTATTTCACTGTGTGAAATTGGTGTTGGACAGTTTGAGCTGAGAGGTGCCATAGCTCATGTGTTAAAGAATCACATCATGATAATAACTGCTTCTGTTTACTGAGTAGCGTACACTGTGCTTGCACTGTGCAAAGTGCTTTACATCCTTGGGTCTTCCAGCTACCCCATGAAGTAGATTCTATGATAGAGCTGATTTTCAGTAATGAGGAAAATGAGCCCCAGAGGTGAAACGACTTGTCCAAAATCAGTGTCAATGAACTTTGGGCCCAGGACTCAGATCCAGGGCCAGCTTAGTCTCACATATAGCATCATTCTGCCTGCTGTAGATAGTGCCCTGGGCTGGGAATCAGAAGGGATCAGCTTGTGCCCAGGCCCTGCCTCACTCCGCTCCTGTACTTAAGGTGACTCACTGCCAGAACCTGCCCCCTGGGTTTTTTTCTCTAGGGCCCTGTTTACCTCAGAGATGTCTGGTAGGGTGGAAGTAGGTAACAATTGGGGCCAATTTCTGAGCTATAAAACCATACAAACATGAAAAATAGTTTATTTACAGTGAGCTGAGCTCTTACCTGCTCCTTCTCTTGGGCCGCAGCGTAAATGAGAACATGTAGTCTCTTCCTTCCACATAATGCCTTCCTGGGGATTATTATCATCCTTGCACACCTTCAGGTTTAATCCCTGAGCAAGCAACTCTGAAATCTCAGTTTTGTCTCTAAATGTGCTGCTGAGCCCCGGCAGCCTCCTGTCATTCCCATGGAGTCATTTCCTTCTTATCCTCTGCGTCCCCTGCTGACCTCAGCATCTTTCTGCCATTCTTCCTCTTCCCATTTTTTTCTCCCATATCAGTGATAGCCCATCGGACCTCATCCTGAATGCCTCTGTCGCCTCTCCCCTGCTTCCTGTGCACTAGTCAGGCAGTGATGCTTTACATTCTGCCACCTGGGTGTATCTATCTGTCTTCTGTCCAACCTCACAGCGTTTGTGCTAGGTGCAGATTGAATAACTGAAGTGCTCCAGAATTCAAAATGTTTTGAGCACCAACATGACACTTAAGGGACTAATTGGATCATTGCGGATGGATTTGGGGTACTCAGCCAAGAAATAGGCAAATATTCCAAAGTTCAAAAAAAATTCCAAATCCAGAACAATTCTGGTCCCAGGCATCTCAGATAAGGGTTGCTCAGCCTGTATCATCTACCCCTTCCTAGCCTCCTGGAAGCCCACAGCCTCTCCTCCTGTAGTTTTTCCCTTGCAACTTCTTTTCAAAGCACTTTCACGTCATCTTTTTGTTGTTCTTCACCATAAGCCAGTGAAGTGAGCAGGGTTTAAGTAAATGTCCTCAGTATATTGGTGACAAAACAGACCCAGGACTGTTTCTTCTTGAGTAACCTCAAGACTCTCCTGAGGTTACTCAAGGAACCAGAGAAAGAACGGAACTCAAACTCAGATTTCTCCCCTCTTTAGCAGACTGAGGGTGAGACAGGGAGGCACGAAGAGGGCAAGGTGTGGGATCAGCCTGGCAGCTTTGCCAAAGCAGGACTGGGGCTGAGGGGAGAGGTGATCAGGATAGCAAGTACCGACAGCAGCTCTCACATGTGAGCACCTGCCACGTGACAGGTGCCACGCTAGACAGTTGATGCGTTCTGTCTCCTTTCATCCTCATAATAATCCTGCTAGGAAGAAATTCCTGTGCCCACTCACAGATGGGGAAATGAGGCATAAGTGAAGGTGGTGAGGGTGGTTCCTTATTCAAGTTCACATGGCCAACTTGAGGCAGGACCAGGTTTGCGCCCAGACCTATCTAGCTCCTAGTTCCTTTCCATCCTGGCTTGTTGCCTCACAGAGTAAGCTGAGCAGAATGCTTGAGGATTTGGTTCTGCAGCTGGGCTGCCTGGGTTCAAATTCCAGCTCCATTGCTTATTGGCTTTGTGACTCTGGGCAATCTGCCTCACCGTTCTGGGCTTAGTTTACCCCCACTTTACAGTGGGGGTAATAATAGTATCTCTCTCACAGGGTTGTTGGTAGGATCAAGGTAGTTAATATATTTAGGCATTTAGAATAGTTCGTGGCACATAAAGATTTGGAATGTCCAGGAGAGCCAGTGAGCCATTCCTGAGTAACTGCCCTCCCTCACCACAGGATGCCAGCGAAGAGACAAGCACTTCCGTCATGCAGAAAACCCCCATCATCCTCTCAAAACCTCCAGCAGAGCGGGTGAGTAGGGAAGAACTTTGAAGGAGGGAGGAGGAGAGCAGTTAGGGAAGGGATTGCCCCATTGACGGAAACTTTTTACCCCCATAGTCAAAGCAGCCACCACCTCCAACAGCCCCTGCTGTCCCACCGGCTCCAGCCCCTCTGGAGAAGCCCATCGTCCTCATGAAGCCACGGGAAGAGGGGAAGGGGCCTGTGGCTGCGGCTGGTGCCTCTACCCCTGAAGGCACCGCCCCACCACCCCCTGCAGCCCCTGCGCCACCCAAGGGAGAGAAGGAAGGGCAGAGACCCACACAGCCTGTGTACCAGATCCAGAACCGGGGCATGGGCACTGCTGCACCAGCAGCCATGGACCGTGAGTTGGGGCCAGGCAGGACCAGGTTGGGAAGTGGCATCTCCTCACAGACCCTCACTGCATCCTCTGTCTCCTGCTTTCTCCAATCTCCAGCTGTCGTGGGTCAGGCCAAACTACTGCCCCCAGAGCGCATGAAGCACAGCATCAAGTTGGTGGATGACCAGATGAATTGGTGTGACAGTGCCATTGAGGTACTGAGGGCCCCTCCCTGCCTGAGCTTCCGCACGTCCTGCATCCTCTGATCCTCCACCCCCACCTCTGCCTCTTGGTAGGCAGCGCCAGTCTGGAGAGCTTTTGGGCAACTCACAGCAGTGAGACGGGATGGAATCAGAACGTTCTCACCTAACCAGAGCTGAATTTCAACTAGCTCAGCTGTGCTTGCTAGTTGGTAAAATACTGATCTGCTTTGGTACTGGTTGGTAAAAAGGTACTCTAACTACCACCCCAGAACCCCTGGGATGTCCTTTGCCATCCACAGTGGGGGAGTCTCTTGGACCCTGCCCTAGTACCCTTCTTATTTGGTTGAAACCCATGCTGGTAGCTCATGCCTGTAATCCCAGCACTTTGGGAGGCCAAGGTGGGAGAATTCGCCTGAGCCCAGAAGTTCAAGACCAGCCTGGGCAACTTAGGGATACTCTATTTCTACCCAAAACTTAAAAATTAGCCAGGTTTGGTGGCAGGCATCCAGGCCACTCAGGAGGCTGAGGTAAGAGGATCACTTGAGTCCAGGAGGTCAAGGCCACAGAGAGCTATGATCATGTCATTTGACGCCAACCTGGACAACAGAGTGAGACCCTGTCTCAAAAACAACAACAAGAAACCCATGCTGTTTCAGTGTTAACTGTTTTGAATGTCATCCCCCAAAGGGCCCCCATCCATCCCACCCCTTGCTCTAGTTCAGCCCTCACATCCCTAGATCGTCATACATGCCTCCAGACTCCCAGACCTTATATCCCCTCTTCCACTTTTTCTCCTGTAGCCGTGTCATACCCCTGCTCAGATTCTCCTGGAGATGTCACCTCTCCTGCCCAGCAACCTGGACTTATTAGGGCAGCCTCAAGCCCGTTTATTGCCTTCCTCTCCCCCTTCTGTGTCCACTCTCGAATTGGAATTAACTGGGGAGCTTCAAAAAAAGAAAGAAGCCAAACCCTCCCCTTCAGCACTATTAAGCAGAAGTCTCTGCAGTGATGAAGATTATATATATTTGCACTGTCCATCCATTATGGTAGCCACTATCCCCAGATGAGGCTTTAGAGCACTTGACACGTGGCTAGTGCAACCAAACAGAATTTTTCATGTTGTTTAGTCTTTACTAATTTAAATAGCCATGTATGATCTGTGCCTACTGATTGAACAGGGCAGCTCTAGGTACTCTGCTTTAATGTGTTAAAGCACATTAAATCCTGATTGGGCCTGGGATTTGCTTTATTTATTTAGGAGACTATCTTGCTCTGTTGCCCAGGCGGGAATGTAATGGCATCATCTTGGCTCACTGCAATCTCCACCTCCCAGGTTCAAGCAGTTCTCTAGCCTCAGCCTCCTGAGTAGCTGGGACCACAAGTGTATGACACTACACCCAGCTAGTTTGTTGTTGTTGTTGTTGTTTTGTTTTGTTTTGTTTTGAGATGGAGTTTTGCTCTTGTTGCCCAGGCTGGAGTGCAGTGGCGCCATCTCAGCTCACCACAACCTCCACCTCCTGGGTTCAAGTGATTCTCCTGCTTCAGCCTCCCAAGTAGCTGGGATTATAGGTGCCTGCCACCACACCCGGCTAATTTTGTATTTTTAGTAGAGACGGAGTTTCTCCATGTTGGTCAGGCTGGTCTTGACCTCAGGTGATCTGCCTGCCTTGGCCTCCCAAAGTGATGGGATTACAGGCATGAGTCATTAGGTCTGGCCAGTTTTTGTATTTTTGGTAGAGACGGGTTTCACCATGTTGGCCAGGCTGGTCTTGAACTCCTGGCCTCAAGTGATCCTCCCACCTCAGTCACCTAAAGTGTTGGGATTACAGGTGTGAGCCCCCACACCTGGACTATAGAATTTGCTTTTAAAAAACAATTCCAGGTGATTCTAAGGAGCAGCAGCCACAGTTCAGGATGAAGCAATTTGCCTTGAGGTGTGTCTCTTACACCCCCTGCTGGTGAAAGTCAGCAGAGCTGGTGGCCCAGAGTTGGTCTCCGGTCATTTCCAGAGGAGCTCATACATCCCACAAACAACAGTATATGAATGTAAAACAGACACACACACACACACACACACACACACACACACACACACAGATGAGAGCCTGGGTGGCTCCTGTTTGCATACCACTCCCTTTCTTGTGCTTTCCCAGGAATCTGTGCTAGTAGCCCTCAGTCACTGAGTCCTGTCTTCTCCAACCCACCCTTCTGTTCTTAGGCCACTCCCTTTTACTTCCCCAAGATCAGACTTTCTTTTTCCCTCTGTGTTCAGCACACTGACTTCCTGTTAGCTTCTTTTTTTTCTTTTTTTTTTTGAGACGGAGTCTTGCTCTGTTGCCAGACTGGAGCACAGTGGTGCAGTCTTGGCTCACTGTGACCTCCCGGGTTCAAGCGATTCTTCCTCCTCAGACTCCTGAGTAGCTGGGACTACAGGCACATGCCAAACACCCGGCTTATTTTTGTATTTTTTTAGTAGAGACGGTGTTTCACCATCTTGGTCAGGATGGTCTCAATCTCTTGCCCTCATGATCCACCCTCCTCGGCCCCGCAAAGTGCTGGGATTATAGGCATGAGCCACCGCACCCGGCCTTCCTTTTAACTTCTTGGCCATGCTAGGCTCTTTCTACTTCAGAGTTCTCACAGACACTGTTCTTTGTGTCTAGAACATTTCACATAATCCTACCATGACACAGAATAGAGGCCCTATGTCTGATAGAAGGGATTGGGACCACAGGAGTTTTTATTCATATGTGATAAGGCAGGCGGGTAAACCACAAGGGTCTCTGGGGTCCCCCCTCTCATTCTAGCTCCAGCAACTGACAGACTTGTCAGAGTCTTATTTCTCTCTTTTCCCACAGTACCTCTTGGATCAGACTGATGTGTTGGTGGTTGGTGTCCTGGGCCTCCAGGGGACAGGCAAGTCCATGGTCATGTCATTGCTGTCAGCCAACACTCCAGAGGAGGATCAGAGGTGAGGGAGTGCAGGAGGGAGGTGGGCACCCACCTGGGGCAGGGGCAAGGTGGGCTTGGGTGTTGCAAGTGATGTTACCAAAGGACTTTGGAAAGTTGCTTTTCCTTCTTAGGCCTCAGTATCTTCGTGAGATGAGGATGATAATGGGCTGCACTAAATCTGTGCAGTTCCAAGGCATCCAATCCTGTTCCTCCCTCTCTCCCTCCCTGCCTGGCCCCGGGAAATGGTACAGGCCCTAGAGAGGAAGTGGGATGATGTCATCGTTAAGGTTTTGGACTTAGCTGGTTGACCTTGGGCAGGTCACTTCATTTCCCGTATCCCATGTCCAAGTAGATTTTTGGAGGATAACAAAAGATCAAGAAGGCAAAAGTTAATGAGCACCTGGCACAGAGCAGGTGCTCACAGAATGACAGCTGATAGGATCTGAGAAAGAGTGGGGGAGGAGATCTGGAGACAGAGATGGTTTCTGTACTTTTCCTGTGTCACCTTGGGAAAGTGGCTCTTAACTTTCTAGGCTGGGGAGGAGCAGACATGAGGATTCCCCTGCCTGAACAACATTCTTGAATAAGGATGGAATGTGATTATGAAGATAAAGCATAAGGGCACAGGAGCAGGTTTTGGGAAGGGGATGGCTTAAGAAACAGGTCCTGAAACTGGGGCAGAGAAGGACAGGGGGAAAAGGTAGGAATTTGGGAGTGGGAGAGATAGACATCTAATTAAGGAAGAATCAAAATGGGGAGAATAGATAGTAGCCACTGGGGTGGTAAAGAACAGAGACACATTTAAGTTACCTGAAAATATAGGGATCTGTTTTTTGTAAAGCGGGTAATACCACCCTGTCTTCCATGGATGAGCGTCAGGGGTCCATTAACCCCTTAACAGTATATGCAGAATTTTGTTTATTTATTTATTTTTGAGATAGAGTCTAGTTCTTTTGCCTAGGCTGAAGTGCAATGGCATGATCATAGCTCAGTGCATCCTCAACCTCTCAGGCGCAAGTGATCTTCCCACCTCAGCCTCCCAAGCAGCTGGGATTACAGGGGCATGCCACCACACCAGCTAGTTTTTAATTATTTTGTAGAGATGTTGTCTCCTTATGTTGCCTAGGCTGGTCTCAAACTCTTGGTCTCAAGCAATCCTCCCGCTTTGGCCTCTCAAAGCGCTGGGATTACAGATGTGAACTCCCACGCCTGGCCATATGCAGAATTTTACACACATTTGCAGTCAGGCTCTTCTTCTAGGGAGAAGGTCCATCGTTTACACCAGATTTCAGAGTGGGCTGATGGAGATCTAGAAAAGTGAAGACCACTGTTGTTGGAAGAATACACATCCCATAGAGCTGGAGCTGTGGGGTTCCCCTGCCTCTTCCTTCCTGTTCTCTGTTCACTCATGACTCAGCTCCGCTTCATTCTGGAATAGCTCCAGGTCTTAGATAACATTCTCTCCATTTCAGCTTTCACCCCAACTAGCAGATTTTCCCCATGATTCTGGGTTCAGATTCCCAAGAGAGAATGCTGTCGCCCAGCTTGTCTTTTTGAGCCATGTCAGCCTGTGGTGTAGTGGATGTTAGTATCAACTCTTTTCATCAGGTCTAGGTTTTGGTTCCTAATTCTTTTTTTTTTTTTTTTGAGACAGTCTTGTTGTGTCACCCAGACCAGAGCGCAGTGGCGCAATTTTGGCTTACCACAACCTCTGTCTCCCGGATTCAACCAATTCTTGTGCCTCAGCCTCCTGAATAGCTGGGACTACCACACCCGGCTAATTTTTATATTTTTAGAAGAGATGGGGTTTTGCCATATTGGCCACGCTGGTCTCAAACTCCTGATTAGGTGATCTGCCTGCCTTGGCCTCCCAAAGTGTTGGGATTACAGGTGTGAGCCACCGCACCCAGCCTACCTCCTAATTCTCTTTATAATTCATCTGTTTCTTCTCTCCTTCATGTTCACCTCCTTAGTACAAGCCATTAATATCTTACATGGAGGATGCCAAGAGGTTCCTATCTGGTCTCCCTGATTTAATTCAGCTTGACAAATACTGTATTAATTGAATGCTTTCTATGTGCCAGGTACTGTACCAGGTGCTGGGGAGATAATGGTATACAAAACTGGAAAAAAAGCTGCCCTCGTGGGGCTTACATTTTAACAGGGGAGATAGTAAACAAAATAAACACACTATTTGGCACAATGGAATATAACAAAATGGGAAAAGGTTATAGGGAGGTGATGTTGGGCCTAGGTTACAGGTTTTCAAAATTACCACTGTTTTTTAAGAGACGAGGGTCTTGCTCGGTCACCCAGGCTGGAGTGCAGTGGCGTGATCATGGCTTCACTGCAGCCTTGAACTCCTGGGCCCAAGCCATCCTCCCGCCTCGGCCACGTGAGTAGCTGGGACCACAGGTATGCACCACCATGCCCAACTAATTTTTTAATTTTTTGTAGAGACAGGATCTCACTGTGTTGCCCAAGCTGGGCTCACGTGATTTTCCCACCTCAGCCTTCTGAGTAGCTAGGACTACGGTTCTGTCCCACCGTGCCTGGCTTACTTACTTATTTTTATTTTTGAGTCAAGTCTTGCACTGCCACCCAGGCTGGAGTGCAGTGGCTGAATCTCTGCTCACTGAAACCTCCATCTCCCAGGTTCAAGCAGTTCTCCTGCCTCACCTTCCCGAGTACCTGGGATTACAGATGTGCACCACCACACCAGGCTAATTTCTGTATTTTTAATAGAAAATGTTAGCCAGGCTGATATCGAACTCCTGAACTCAAGTGATACTTGAGTTCCTTGGCCTCCTAAAGTGCTGGGATGACAGTCATGAGCCACCACACCCTTCATTTTTAGAATTTTTTGTAGAGATGAGGTCTTGCCATGTCGCCCAGACTAGGTTATAGTTTTAAATGTGATTGCAAGGGAAGGCATTGCTAAGGGGAACGTTTGAGAATAAACATGCTTGGAGGAGCATTTCAATGACAGGGACTGGCCAAGGCAATGCCTCTAAAATAGGCGCTTGTCTGTGTGTGCAAAAGAGCATGGCAGCCTTGGAAGGGGAGTGATAGGAGATAAGGCCAGAGAGGCAGAGGGAGGCAACATGGCACTGGGCCTTGTAAGCCCATCTCCCCTCTTTCCACCCTACAGTCCTCGCCACATAGCAGCCAGTAGCAGACAGTGGAGACTTTCAGACCAAAATTTGATCATGTCCTCCTCTACCTATATCTCTCAGCAGCTTCTCCAGGTCATAGGCCAAAGCCTTACCATGCCCCACAAGGGTCTGTGTAGCCTCTCCTTGCTCTCTCTCCTCCTATACACCCCGTTTTTCTGTTCTTGCCATGCTGGTCTCTGAGTCTTGGTACAACAAGCCACCTGTCTTCTGCCTGATACAGTATTCCTCTGTGCCCATCCCCCAACCCAGCCCCAGTTAACTCCCTCTCTCTCACCCTCAGCATTGTCATTTCCCTCTTCAGGGCAGCCCTTCCTGGCTCCACCAACTAAGCCATCTGGGCTTGGAGCACTGTACACCTCCTCTTTCTAACACCCACAGTGACTGATTTCTGGTAATTTGTAAACTAGACCAGAAGCTCCACAGAAGCCGACTTAGTCTTTTTTGTTCACTGCTGTATCCTGGTGTCTGGCAGATAGGAGGTTTTCTGCATAGTGTTTGTAAAGTGGAAGGTTGCCTGCTCTGTGTCAGTCAACAGACTATGCCTCTTGGGGGTAGATAGAAACTACCCTTTGAGAGGCAGTTTCTATTATCCTGATTTTACAGATTTCAAAAGGTAAAATCACTTTGCCTCAGAGTTACCAAGTTGAGCTTAGTGGTTTAGGGCAAGGCCCAGCTCTGCCTGCTTTGCCCTCATATTCCCAGCGCCCAGCACATGTGGAAGTGAGGGACACTCACCTGACGGGAAGATGCTGGGAACAAGACCCAAACTCCCTCTCCCTGTGGCAGTGGAGGCCATTCAGTGCTCTGTCTCCAGTGCCTGGGATCTAGCAGGTATATTTGGTAATTAACAGCTAAAAGTATGTATCACTCTATATCAGGCACTATTCTAAGGGCTCTACACATACTGAGCTCATAATAACACACAGAGTTTTGATCATGTTGTTATCCCCATTTTACAGATAGGAAACTGACAGAAAAAGGTTAAGGAATTTGCCCAAAACCACACAGCCAGGAAGAGGCAGAGCTGGGATTTGAATCCTTGCAGACTGGCAGAGTCTCTGCCCTTAAACACCTCAGTGGCCGGGCTTCATTGATTAAACTAATGGATCTCTTTATGGGTAGGAGTGAAGTCATGTGCTTCAAAACATGCCCCGCCCCCGGCTCCCACCCACTTTCCATCTATGGGCCACAGATGGAAAGCTTAGTGAGCAGGCTGGGCACCCGGGCTAACGTGCTCAGCTCACAGGGTCATGCTTCGGATGCATCAAAGGCTGAGAACCAGAACGCTCAGGCACCCGTACCTGCTTCTCTCCACAGGGCTTATGTTTTCCGGGCTCAGAGCGCTGAAATGAAGGAACGAGGTGGCAACCAGACCAGCGGCATCGACTTCTTTATTACCCAAGAGCGGATTGTTTTCCTGGACACACAGGTGCCGGCCCCACCTGCCTTTGCCCCTTGCCCCCAACCCACATCCTCTTCCTGGAATGTTACTAAGCTAGAACCCTGTGTGGATTCCATGTGCTTCCAGTCAAGCTGTGGACATGCTGGGTGCCCTTGGGCAAGATGTGTCTTTTCTTGGCCCTTTCTCTTGTCACATGTTGCCCCATCTCATTCGCCTTCTACACAGTAGCCTGAAGGGCCTTCCAGTATACTGCTAAAACATGTGGAACCTAGAGAATCTATGTTCCTATCCTGCCTTTTAATTCTTACTAGCAGGGTGACTTTAAATACCTTTTAAACTTCCTTAAACCACAGCTCTTCATCTGTAAGTAGGGATGATGACTACTCGGCCTCTTAAGAGTTTCAAGGATTCCGTGGAACAATCCAGGCAAAGTGCTGGGTTAGGACTTGGCATCAGGTTAGCGCTCAGGCTCGTCACTTTCGTTAGAACTGACTGGTCATGTGTTTACCTGGCAGATTTCCTTGTCCTCTCCCTTGCTCTCAGGCAAAGTTCGGATTCCTTAGGCTGGCATTTGGAGGGTATGGCTTGACTCCCTCAGACTGCCTATCCTTGGCCCCTGGAGGAGCCACCAGACCCCCAGCACACAGGCACTGATCTCTCTCTTATCTGGACTTTGCATATCTTGTGTTTACCTGAAGCCACCAAAGAACTGTGTGACCTTGTCAAGTTGTTTGTTTTCATTCCTCAGTTTTCTTAAGTGGGAAAAACAGTATTGCATACCTCGTAGGGTTTTTGTGAGGTTTCAGTGCATCGATACAAGTAAATTCCTAATGGCAGCACCCAACAGGAGTTAGGTGCTAAATACTCTTAATGATTAACTCCGTTATCAGTACAATAGGCTCTCACCTTGTGTGGTTGCCTGGCTGGTGCCTTCTTCCTCAAGACTCCACTGGGGTGTGGCCTCCTCTCAGAAGCCTTCCCCTTCCACTGTTGCCCATATGCACCTCCCACCATAGCATGTGATTTGCCCTGGTGTCTGTTCCCACTCCCTACCTGCCTGAAGCTCCTCAGAGCAGAGCCTGGCTCTGTGGCTGAGAGCTGGGGCACAGGGTTTGGCCCTTAGTTGGCACTCATAGTTGGTGGATCAGCATTCTGGTCACTGTGGCATTGATGACACGGAGTGGAAAACCTCCTAATGTGACGTGAGCCTTGTGTGCCAGGCCCTGTGCAGGGGCCATGGGGACCTGGAGACAACTGGCTGTGGTCTAGGTCAGGGGACTGCGAAGAGGACAGATGTTAACAAAACAAGATGGAATAGAGCACTGCTCAGTGTTAAGAGTTGGAGAAAGCAGGCAGTTGTGAAAGCCCATTTGTAAAATAATTTCACTGCAGTAAGAAGCAGACTATCAAGCTAATTAGCTCTTAACGGTTTTTGGTTGAATGTCCCTTTAGGAAGAAAATAGTCTGGTGAGCTCACCACTGATTCTTATACGTACACTGATGCAGTTTTTAAAATTCTCACCAGTGTTCACACTAATTTTTTTTTTTTTTTAACCTAAGTCATTATCTCAGCAAAGTTTTGAAAGCGTATGAAACAACTGACAGTCTTTAAGGGACATGACTCATTTGAGTAAACGTTAAACATTCATTAGCACAAAGCAGTTTCTTCTCTTTGGGCATGAGGCGCTTGAGAGCAGCAATGATTTGTAAAGGAGCTGGAAAAGTGTATCAGCTTTGAGGTTTTTTTTTTCTTGTACTTCCTCTTACTGTTCTAATTAGGAATTGCCTGCCTTGTTTTGTCCTGAGGTAGGCAACATATTTGCCTTCAACGTGTGAAACTTGTGCATCTGTGACCAGTCCATTCCCTGACATCCTCTTCTTTTCCTGCTGCAGCCCATCCTGAGCCCTTCTATCCTAGACCATCTCATCAATAATGACCGCAAGCTGCCTCCGGAGTACAACCTTCCCCACACTTACGTTGAGATGCAGGTGAGGGAGCCAATCCAGGCCCAGGGCTGAGGTTTTACATCCCCGCCCCATCCTCCCAGGATCTGGACAGCTGGTTATGCATTGTCCACTTAGTTTCTGCTTCATAAGAGCCCCAGCTGCCCCAAGGGCTGTAGGGAAAGGACAGCACTGAGAGTCAGAACTGGCTCAAGTGGCTCTGCCCCTCAAGCAAGTCATTCCCCACTCCCTCCCCTTTGAAGCCTCAGCATCTGCCTGAATAAAGTGAGGGCAATAATTCCCACTTGTCCTGATTTAGGGATGGCCTGTAAGGGAAGTGCTATCACAGTGTTAGGCACACAGTAGCTGCTTGAAGGCTCCTTCCCCTGCTGCCTCCTGAACTGAGTCCTGGGATCAGGGACTCCTGATTAGTCTGGGCGAGAGAGGTCCTCAACTCCCTTCCTTCCTGCCCACCCTCAGTCGCTCCAGATTGCTGCCTTCCTTTTCACGGTCTGCCACGTGGTGATTGTCGTCCAGGACTGGTTCACAGACCTCAGTCTCTACAGGTGAGGGGCTGAGGGGTTGGGGGGTAGTGGGGAGGAGGAACTAGGGAGGAGACACAGGCCCAGAGACTGAGCCAGAGGGACCCTTTTAAAATGTAAGTTGGAGCAAATCATCCCCATGTAACCTCCTCCTCAAAGCACACACAACACACTGCCCTCCACTGACTTTACATGTCTATCAGAATAAATCCAAAGTCTGCCCATGTATGGCTTAGAAAGTCCTACACCCTCTGGTCACCTTGCTGACTTCTCTCATTGCCTTTCCTCACTCCCTTTATTAAAGCCACAGGGCCACCAGGCGAGGTGGCTCACGCCTGTAATCCCAGCACTTTGGGAGGCCAAGGCGGGTGGATCATGAGGTCAGGAGTTCAAGACCAGTCTGGCCAAGGTGGTGAAACCCTGTCTCTACCAAAAATACAAAAATTAGCCAGGCGTGATATCAGGCTTCTGTAGTCCCAGATACTTAGGAGGCGGAGGTGCCAGTGAGCCGAGATCACACCACTGCACTCCAGCCTGGGTGACAGAGTGAGACTCCTAGAGGCCACATGGCTGTTCTTCCTGCAGCCCAGGACCTCTGCACTCTGCCTCCCTCAGCTGGAAATTCTCTACCCACAGATCTTCTCAGACTCTCTCCCTCATGCCATTGAGTCCACTTCAGGCCTTCCCTGACCATCTAGCATAGCATCCCTGTTGCTCTCCCCACCTGTATTTTTTTTCCATTGCGCTTGCCTCTCCTTAATAGGATACTGTAGCTTTCCTTATGATCTTTCTCCCCCAGTGTAAGCCCCAGGAGGGCAGGGTCCCCAGCATCTCACACGGTGCCTGGCGCACAGTAGATATTTACTGCAAATTTGCTGAATAACTAGCATGAGAAGCTGGCTTGTCTGATCTGTGGACTTTTGTTGTTCATCTCCTTCAGGCTCATGTACCATCCTGTTGGGACTCAGGCAGCCACGAAAAAAAAGGGAGGTGGGACCTGGCAGGAGTCCTGCCTGAAGCAGCCATGTGTTCCAGAAATGCCCCTAGAAGAGACTAGCTCAGAACCTGTGGCCACAAGGGCTCTTACTGGCTCCAGGCCCCAGGAGGCCACTGGAAGGTGTGGTGTGGGAGCAGCTTTGGGCATAGGGATCAGGCAGAAGGAAGGGAGAGGAGCTTATGGAGTGGGAGAAATGGAATTTAGGAAGCAGATGCCTTCAGAACCAGGCAGTCCTGGGTTCAAGTCCCCTCTCTTACTGGGCATGTGTCTTTTCTTTCCTCAGTTCCTCATCAGCAGAATTATGTTGTGCAGATTCAGTGAGTCAAGGAATTGAAAGCATTCAGCTTAGTCCCTGGTACACAGTAAGCAGCTGATGGGGAGAATTTAGTGTGTATGTACTAGTAACCCTGGGAACAGGGATGAGCTGAGGGCAACAACAAAAAAGGCTTGCTAGGCGGTTGGTTGTTCTGACCAGATGTAATGCAGTGAAGCTGTGACTTCATTGTGAAACACCCATTCCTACCACCATCCATTGGGATTTAGTCACATCTAGGTGTTCGGGCACTGTTCTGGGCACTAGGGATACAGGTGTGAACAAAACAGATAGATTGCCCCTGGGGAGTCAATGTTCTGGTGGGGTATCAGCTCAGGCTGCCACATGGCCGAGCCTTGTTTTTAAACTCTCATCTACAGGTGGGCTTCTCAGAGGAGGGTAGTCCCTTGAAATTGTAGATGTGTTTGTGTGTGTGTGTGAGGAGAATGCCCCCGTATTTTAGCAGATTCCATTATCCCTTATCTTAGAAAACAGGTTAATGTACTACTATTTGAAAAAATAAGTAGCATAAACTGAAAATTTATAACCACTCAAAAAACCTACACCCAAGTTTTTTTTTGTTTTGTTTTGTTTGAGATGGAGTCTTGCTCTGTCACCCAGGCCGCAGTGCACAGGAGTAATCTCAGCTCACTGCAACCCCTGCTTCCCAGGTTCAAGCGCTTCTGCCTCAGCCTCCTGAGTAGCTGGGACTACAGGTATATGCCACCACACCCGGCTAATTTTTGTATTTTTAGTAAAGACATGGTTTTGTGATGTTGGCTAGGCTGGTCTCGAACTCCTAACCTCAGGTGATCCGCCCATCTCAGCCTCCCACAATGCTGGGATTACAGGCGTGAGCCACTGCACTTGGCCACACAGATATTTATAGCAGCTTTATTCATAATTGCCAAAACTTGGAAGCAACCAAGATGTCTTTCAGTAAATGGAATGGATAATCAGTGGTACACCCAGACAATGGAATATTCAACACCAAAAAGAAATGAGCTATCTAGCCATAAAAAGACATAGAGGATCATTAAATGCAGATTAAGTGAAAGAAACCAATCTGAAAACGTTACATACTGTGTAATTCCAACTATATGACAGTCTGGAAAAGACAGAACTATGGAGACAGTAAAAAGATGGATGGTTGCCAGGAGTTGGAGGGAGGGAGGAATGAATAGGCAGAGCATAGAGGATTTTGAGGGCAGTGAAACTACTCTTTGTGATGCTCTAATGGCAGACACACACCATTATACATTTGTCCAAACCTGTAGAATGTACAGCACCAGAGTGATCCCTGATATAAACTCGGACTTTGGGTGATAATGCTGTGTTGATGTAGCTTCATCAGTCCTTAAAAGGGAACCATTCAGGTTGGGGTTGTTGATAGTTGGGGAGGCTCTGCATGTGCAGGGGGTGTGGGAACTCTGTGCTTTCCGCCCAGTCTTGCTGTGAACCTAAAACTGCTCTAAAAATAGCCTCTTTAAAATAAAATAATAAGGTAAGCTCATAAAGAGTGAATACAGTTGATGTAAGTCCATGGATCGGTATCTGAGAGGATTATCTCTGAATTCTCTGAAATTGTGAGAAACATGGTGTGTATATGGCATTTTTCTAAGCATGGCTGTAGCTTTCATCAGGATCTCAAAGGGAGCCCCTGTCCCAGGCTGTGGGACATGGGGTGCAAGTGCAAGAGCAACAGCCACTCACCCCAAACCCCAAGGTTCCTCCAGACAGCAGAGATGGTGAAGCCCTCCACCCCATCCCCCAGCCACGAGTCCAGCAGCTCATCAGGCTCCGATGAAGGCACCGAGTACTACCCCCACCTGGGTGAGAGGCTTTCTGGGGGCTGGACAGGTGGGCAGGAGGAAGAATGAGGGGGTGAAAGTCAGCAGCACGCTGGGGAAGTGGGGAGAGAGAGGGAAGGAGTGGGGATCTGGGAGGAGTACTTTTGAGAGTTAATGAGGAGCGAAGTCAAAAAGGATTAGCAGCTACTTCAAGTTCCTGCTGCCCTGGTCCAACCCTGACAATTGAGGGCATGACCTCCTGAGCCTGTGTCTGGCTCTGTGACAGGCCCCAGGTCTGCCTGTTTCTGGGTCCCTGGAATCTCCCAGCTCTGGAAATGGGTGTTAGGTTGGGTTCCTCTGAGTGGCCCCGTCGACCTAGTGTCCCTCCTCCAGCCTTTGCTCCTGTCGTTCCTTTGCCTGTTATGTCCTTTCTCTGCTCTAGTCTTCTGCAAAGATTGAGTTCATTTTATGATCCCTTGCTGGGGCCTCAAAGAGACTAGGGGCAGAAACCAGATCTGACTGACCTCTGGGTCCCCAGCATCACCCTACATGGAGCCTGCTGCTAAAGTGAAGTGAAGTTACATAAATATTTCCACAGTGATCTGAACTCAGGGGCAACAGCAGGTCTTTGTGTGAGAAGGGGAGTCCATTAGGCCAAGCGATGTCTGCCTCACGGGCCCTGTCTCCTCCCACTTCTCCACCTTCAGTCTTCTTACAGAACAAAGCTCGCCGAGAGGACTTCTGTCCCCGGAAGCTGCGGCAGATGCACCTGATGATCGACCAGCTCATGGCCCACTCCCACCTGCGTTACAAGGGTGAGGATTCCCAAAGCCCCCCAAGCTAGTCCTTATCCAGCTTCCTGGGTCATTCTCTACCTCCAGACTAGTGTCCTGTTCCTGCCTTGACTGTCAACAGTTCCCACCCCCACAAACCCACAACATGGTACCTGAGGCTGAAGAAGCATGTTCTCCTCCAGGTACTCTGTCCATGTTACAATGCAATGTCTTCCCGGGGCTTCCACCTGACTTCCTGGACTCTGAGGTCAACTTGTTCCTGGTACCCTTTATGGACAGTGAAGCAGAGAGTGAAAACCCACCGAGAGCAGGTACAGTTACCCTTGACGGGTTCCTGGAGAGACAAGTCCTGTCCTGATCATAGAGAGACCCAGCATCCCCTGGTCTAGGAGGCAACATAGGTTGCCTTGGTTTGGAAGAAGTGTGGAGCCCACCTGGTTTGAGAGAAGACCCTGCCTCATTCCTGGGGTGCGTGGACCCTTTCTTAGGAGTGTGTTTCAGTCGTGAAAGTACAGAAAGAGCGCAGCCGGGGCTGAACTCTTAGTTGCTCCTCAAAGCCCAGGATGCTGTTAACTGGGAGAAAGACACTGGCAGTTCATCCTTCTTATCCTCCCTGCCCCAACTTTCCAGGACCTGGTTCCAGCCCACTCTTCTCCCTGCTGCCTGGGTATCGTGGCCACCCCAGTTTCCAGTCGTTGGTGAGCAAACTCCGGAGCCAAGTGATGTCCATGGCCCGGCCACAGCTGTCGCACACAATCCTCACCGAGAAGAACTGGTAAGAGCTCTTTGCAGAGTCACCCCACCCTGGCGTAGAGAGAAGGGGTGTCTCTTAGATAGGCAGGATCTCGTTAAGCCCCTCCTCTCCCAATCTCAGTTTCCTTTTCTGGAACGGTGGTGATTGCTCCTGTCTTATAAGCATCTCACCCATGTAGCACCCTGCTGTTTTGTGTGACTTTGAATCCTAATCAGCTAGCATCATGTAGGTCCTTGTCACCAGTTTTTCTGGTGTAGAAATTTAGGCTCAGAGAAAAGTGTTACATAGCAAGGCCACACACCTGTGGCTAGGAGTCATTTGATTGCTAAGAGTAGGACCAGTGAGCCAGAGTTAGCTTAAGGAAGATTTATTCCAAGGACCTGATCACAGAAAGCAGGGCCCTTCAGGAGATGGGAACCAGAAAGCCACAGGGTCTCATTTTCCACCCTTCTGCATTTGCTGCATTTCCTGCCTGCTGGCTTTCTTCCCCTGCTTTCACGTGACCCTGCACTACCTCTGTGGCCCCTACTTTACATTACTTCTTTGTCCAGAGCCCTCAGTATATGAGTCCGGGTCTTCCTCATCTTACTTCAAAAAGAAAAATTTGAAAGAAGGCCGGGCATGGTGGCTCACACCTGCAATCTTAGCACTTTGGGAGACTGAGGTGGGTGGATTACCTGAGGTTGGGAGTTCAAGACCAGCTGGCCAACATGGAAAAACCCCATCTCTATTAAAAATACAAAATTGGCCAGGCGTTGTGGTGCACGCCTGTAATCCCAGCTATTTGGGAGGCTGAGGCAGAAGAATTGCTTGAACCCGGGAGGCAGAGGTTGTGGTGAAGCAAGATGGCACCATTGCACTCCAGCCTGGGCAACAAAAGTGAAACTCTGGCTCAAAAAAAAAGAATAGAAAAGAAATAAATAGCTTGGCTGGGTGCAGCGTCTCTGACTTGGCTTCCCACATCTGTTTGCAGTTGCCTGTGCTTGAAAGGGGCCAGGAGTGCAGACAAAGCCACAGGAAACCACTTAAGGCTTGTAGGGCAGAGGTGGAGCAGAGCTGGCATTCATTCCTAGCTCTGCTCCTCCCATAGGTCTAAACCAGGACCCAGAGGGGAAAGGGAGGAGAGCGTGGGTTGTGCATCTGCTGTTAGCTGTTTGCCATCGTCGTAAGACTCTGGAGGGAAGTGGAAATAGAATCCTTACCCACAAAGGGCAGCACTGAGTGGAGTGGGAGAAGTTTAGGTGGTGGAGACTTGAGGTCTTAGTCCAAGCCTTGGAACCTCCCGCTTTGCTTAACCTGGGTGAGCTAAGAAAAGTGGGACCACCTCCCATCAGTGTTAGCATCCTCCCTGTATCCCAGTCAAGGAGATGGGGCTCCAAGGGGCTCAGAGTCACGTTTCAGGTCATAAAAAGGGCCTCAGTGGGTGGAGCCCCGGCCAGGCAGCCCTGACTGTTGACCTCCTCTCATAGGTTCCACTATGCTGCCCGGATCTGGGATGGGGTGAAAAAGTCCTCTGCTTTGGCAGAGTATAGCCGCCTGCTGGCCTGAGGCCAAGGAGAAGAATGTCACGCAGGGGAGCTCCTGGGTCCCCAGTGGATGGCGAGGGAGGACAAACGTCCATCCCCTGCTGGGGTGGAGAGCGGCAGCAGGCCTGATGGATGAGGGATCGTGGCTTCCTGGCCCAGAGACATGAGGTGTCCAGGGCCAGGCACCCCACCCTCAGTTGGAGGCTGTTCAGGGGGTGACTGTGAGCGATCCCACCCCCAACCTGAGATGGGGCAGCCCATCCTACCTCCTCCACAGGGACAAGCAGTGGGAGGAGTCTGAGATGGAAGCCCAGGCTCCATCTTGACCTCCTTTTTCAGGGACAGGAGCAACAGTCCCTCTTCCTGACTCTATGCCTTTCCCTGTAAGGTGAGGCAGGGTCTGGAGAGCCCTTTATTGGAGCAGATCTGGTGGTTCAAATAAACACAGTCATGCAAGCCTGTTCTTGTGTTCCACTTTCCTCTACCCATCATGCAGTTCTGGGAAGCAGGACAAACTTGACACCCAGCCCTCGTGAGCAGATTGTCCCCTGGCTACCCATGGGAGCCTGAATGAACTTCCTCAGGGACACATTCACTCTGGGTCATAGAGCCATTGGGAGCAGATGGAGACCAGTCTCTGCTACGAGGGAAGTCCTTAGGAAGGGTAGTTCTGTTTCCTGGGTGACATCAAGCCTCACCTGTGTGTTTTGTATGGGAAAATACATTGTGCAGCTGAGTACACCAGCTATCCTCATGTCTTCTGCTCTCACTTAAAGGCAGTGCCTTTGGGTTAAATGCCCAGTTAAATACAATGCCTAGGCTGGGCATGGTGGCTCATGCTTTGGGAGGCTGAGGCAGGTGGATCACTTGAGGTCAGGAGTTCAAGACCAGCCTGGCTAACATGGTAAAACCCCATCTCTATTAAAAATAAAAATTTAAAAAAATTAGCTATATTAAAAAATTACGTATATAAAATGCCTACTTTTTGAAAAAATAGAACTTGAAAAAATAGAAAAATGCCTACTTTTTATTGAAAAAATAGAACTTGTCCTTAAATGTAGTAAGTACTTACCCTTAGTCTAAATACCTTGTGTCACCCGTACAAACAGTGCCTTCTGTTGGTTAAATATAGTGGCTTTCCTCTCAAAACCTCATCTACTCTTGCTTAGAAACAGCAACTCCTACCTTTAATTTAAATCCAGAACCTACCCTCAGTTAAGTCCTCTATATGGTTTGGTACAATACTAACCCTCATCTGCTCAGTTAAATACAGCACATGATCTTAGTTTGAGGTTCCCAAAGTATGTCTCCAAATTGGTCTTGCCAGCCCAAATTAATCCTTACCCACTAATCATGCCAATCCACCATTCAGTAAAACAGTCAGCTCCAATCCAGTTGGCTGAGTCTGTTCATCTACTACCCTCCCCCCCCCCGACCAGTGCCACTTTTTTTTTTTTTTTTTGAGGAGTTTTGCTCTTGTTTCCCTAGAGTGCAATGGCATGATCCTGGTTCGCTGCAGCTTCCGCCTCCCAGGTTCACACAATTCTTCTGCCTCAGCCTCCCATGTAGCTAGAGCTACAGGCATGTACCACCACACCCAGCTAATTTTTATACTTTAGTAGAGCTGGGGTTTTTTCCTGTTGGTCAGGCTGGTCTTGAACTCCTGACCTCAGGTGATCACCCACCTCAGCCTCCCAAAGTGCTGGGATTACAGGTGGGAGCCACCGTGCCTGGCCCACCCAATGCTACTTTGTCTCTCTGGCTTCCTCCTGCTTTCAGGCATCCCATACAGTCCTGGTATTTCATATCACGGGTATCCAGGGCCTTTTGAGAAACAACTGAAGTGGGGAGGGGGCGGGGGTGGCAGTCAGTGAAGAACGCACTCAGCAGGCCAGAGAAGGTCAGGCCAGACCTGGATAGTATGCCAGTTTCTGCAGAGGGCTGAGGGTCTGAGAGATCTGGGGCCCAGCACAGGCTCTGGCACAGCCACTTCCTAACTGACCATGGTAGGCAAGGAACCTCCCTTCTCTGGTCATTATTCCAACATTAAGGTCATCATCAAGGCCCTTCAGAGCTGTGACGTTCACTGCCCTCTTACCGAAATGCTTCTAAGTCCTTTGCTTCACTGCCGTGATCTATACAGAACCCTCCTGACCATCATCCCCAGCTAGATAACTGAGCTCCTCCTTGCCTCGTCAAAATGCCTGCCACATGTCTCATCCCCACTCCTGCTTCCCCAGGGGGTCTGCCTGCTGGTTGACTTGGGGGTTTGCTGGAGTAGGAAACGTAGTGGGGTCAACAGCCAGAGAAGGATGTGAGACCCAAGGCCAGACAGCACCAAATAGCACATGACTCAGTCCAGGGGAGTTGAAGCTTTGTTTTCTTCTGTCCCAGCCCCTATCAGCACACAGCTGGGGACAGATAGAACTGTGTCCTCTCAGCCCTAACCTGCCACCGCCTGCTGGCCCGGCTCAGGGCTGAGATTGTTGATTGGATTCACCTGTGATCTTAAGGTCTGAATCAGCACACTCTGGTGTCCTTGGCTGCCAAGTCGAGGGTTGTGCAAAGCATCTGGTAGATGGTGGTGAGGGAGGTGCTGGAAGCCCGGCCTAGCATTTTCACCACCAGCACTATGGTTACCTGGTGACCTTGGTCCGAAGACCCTGTCCCACCTCCAAGGTTTTGTGCATCAGGTGGCCCATTGAGGCAGTTTGACAGAAGAGTCACACTGGCAATAGCCTTCGGAACAGTGGGTAAGTGTGTACAGGTCACCCGCACCCCCTTTACACCCAGCACGGGACTCAGGCTGATGCTGCAGGTAGACCACTGTGGACACCAGCTGGATGTGCTGCTGCAGGGAGGTCTGCTGTGGGATGGGCTGCAAGATGCGCCTGGCCACCAAGAATGCCTGGCGCTTGTGGCTCTCCAGTCCCCTCACTATTATTCCAAGCAGGTAGAAGTCACCCTTTTCAGATGATGACTTCAGGAATACATCGATATCCTTCCCACCCCCCACTGGAGCACCACTCAGTCTATGTTTCTAGATTGGAGCAGGCCATGTTGTGCTGACAGCTGCCTGGGCTCAAGTGCCTGTCATGAGCACTGCACTTGGCTTAAGAATGTCAGCCCTGCAGCCAGGGTGCCTATGTGCAGATCCCAGCTTTGCCATCTACCACCTGTGTGACATTGGACAAGTTGCCAAAGCTTGCTGGGCATCTGTTTTGTCTGCAAAATAAAGTGATGATTGTATCTACCTCCTCGGGGTGTGCTGGTGATTAGTGAATTCGTGATAATGGTGTCTGTTTTAGTTTGTTCTTGCATTGCTGTAAAGAAATACCTGAGACTGGGTAATTTATAAAGAAAAGGGGTTTAATTGGCTCACAGTTCTGCAGGCTGTACCAGCAGCATGGTGCTGGCATCTGCTTGGCTTCTAGGGAGGCCTCAGGAAACTTAAAATCATGGCAGAAGGCAAAGTGGGAGCAGGCGCTTCATACGCCACAGCAGGAGCGAGAGGGAGGGGAAAGTACCATACACTTTTAAACGACCAGATCTCACAGAACAAATCCACCATCTTGAGGACAGTACCAAGGGGCCGGTGCCAAGCCATTCCTGAGAAACCACCCCCATGATCAACTCTCCTCCAACCAGGTCACACATGTCTTCAACACTGGGAACTACAATTTGACATGAGATCTGATGGGGACACAGATCCAAACCATATCAGTGCCTGACCTATGCTGAGCTCAGTAAGTGTTAGATGTCACTGTCATCCACAGGTGCCAGATCTGCTTTGGGCATACAGCATTTTGCAGTCCTCTAACTTTGCAAGTACATGAACCAATACATACTCTTTTTTTCTCCTTTTTTTGAGACTTGAGTTTTGCTCTTGTTACCCAGGCTGGAGTGCAATGGCATGATCTCAGCTCACTGCAACCTCTGCCTCCCAGGTTCAAGCAGTTCTCCTGCCTCAGCCTCCCGAATAGCTGGGATTACAAGCATGCACCACCACACCCAGCTACTTTAGTGTATCTTTCTTTCTTCTTTTTTTTTCTTTTCTTTCTTTTCTTTTCTTTTCTCTTTCTTTCTTTCTTTCCTTTTCTTTTCTTCTTTTTCTTTCTTTTTTTAAATAGAGACAGGGTTTCACCATGTTGGCCAGGATGGTCTCGATCTCTTCACCTTGTGATCTACCCGCCTCGGCCTCCCAAAGTGTTGGGATTACAGGCGTGAGTCACCTAGCCCAGCCTACTTTGTGTATTTTTAGTAGCGACAGGGTTTCTACGTGTTGGTCAGGCTAATCTCAAACTCCCGAACTCAGGTGATCTGCCTGCCTCAGCCTCCCAAAGTGCTGGGATCACAGGTGTGAGCCACCACACTCAGCTTCTTTTTTCTCCTTAATGCAAGTGATTGGTCTCTGTCACCAGTGACAGAAGTGCTGGCTCTTAGGGAATGGCAGCTGAAACCTTTATTTCAGCTAGTTCAGTCTAGTTCAGTCACATGGTGGAGAGTCTAGTTCAGTCACATGGTGGTACCTGGGGTGACCCCTTTTCCCAGTCTGGGCCTCTGCTGGAAGATGAAGGGAAAGGGTAGGCAGTCTCTCAAGGGTCCAGGCCCTCCTCTGCCACCAGTCCCCAGACCCTGTGCCTGACCCTCCAGTTACTGCCGACAGCCATCAGGATCAAGCTGAGCTCACTCTCCTCAGAGAAGGTGCTGGGGTGGCAGCTGCGGGGGTGGCAAACTCCACGTCCATCTTGGAGCAGAGGAAGGAGAAACGCCTTCCTCTGCAGGATCTTGCCACCCAGTTGGGCATGGCTGCTGGTACAATGATGTGATGATAATGAGGTGGCAACGGTCCAGCAGCAGCTGCTGGAGGTACTTGTCAGCCTGGAAAGTGGGCGTGCCTGTGGCTGACAGGTCTGGCGATGACCATGGGTGCCGGTAGGGCATCGGGTCCACAGCCATTTCTGTCACAGCCCTGCAGGCTGAGTTGGGGTCTTCATTTCGTAGCCTCTCATGGTGTTGACAGGTCAACTTGCCTGAGCCTCTGCCCTTGGTAATGCCAATGTGCAGCCTGACATTCTCCAGTGAACCAAGCGTGGCCTGCAACTTGGCAGCAACCGCTGGCAGATTCCCCACCTTGCCGGCCTCCTTTAGAGCCCTGCTGCTCCAGTCACGACAGCATCAGTATCTTGAACTGGCTGAGGGTTGGATGGGCTGTGGGCTGCCTGACCCCTAGTTCTCCAGCTTCAGAACTTGGTGACCCTCAGCAGAACCGGTGAGAGAGTATTTTCACTCTGAGTTACCCATTCTCCAGTCCCTCTGCATGCCTGTCATAACTGTGTTACAATATACTTGCTGCCTTGGCATTCATGTAGAGGCCTGACATACATTGTTTGAAACCCAGTGAAAATCTCATCACCTTGGCCTCGTTAAAACTTCCCCTTCCCCTTGTGGCTTGTAGTTTAGTCCACCTGATCCTCATCTCACCAGCCCAAAACCCAACAACATCCTACAGTGGCTGACCATGGCCCTATGGGATGGCCAACACCAGAGTCATGTAAAGAACTTGCCCCTTTAGCCGGGCGCGGTGGCTCATGCCTGTGATCCCAAGCACTTTGGGAGGCTGAAGTGGGCTGATAACCTGAGGTCGAGAGTTCCAGACCAGCCTCACCGACACGGAGAAACCCTGTCTCTACTAAAAATACACAAAGTATCTGGGTGTGGTGGCGCATGCCTGTGATCCCATCTACTCAGGAGGCTGAGGGAGGAGAATTACTTGAACCCAGGAGGTGAAGGTTGCAGTGAGCCAAGTTTGCGCCATTGCACTCCAGCCTGGGAAACGAGCGAAACTGTCTAAAAGAAAAGTTTCCCCTTCAAGTGTGTTTTCTTTAAAATAGCTAATCCAAAACCACCACAGGAAAGCCTAAGGTAATACCGGCGTAGGCCCACAGGTGCTATTTCCCTCTGTCTCTCTCATTTGCTCCCCCACCCACTGACCAAGCTCCCTGCTGCCTCCCGACTTCCCATCTACTTCCCACTGGCACCCCTAACCTCTCTGGGACCTGTGAGTAATGCATTTCTTCTGTTTTATGCATTTTGGTTTCATCTCATTGTCTCACCTGAAACACACACCTGTAAAAGTTGATCCTATGAACTGGGTCATCCTTGTCATAGCCACCTAAATCAGAGTAGAGGGGCCAGGAGAAGGACTCGGGGCACACAACATTGCTCTAGAAATGTAATTATCTTTGCAAGTCCAGCTGCTGACACTGCCTGTTGTAACCTGAAACCCGTTTTATCTACAGCTGCTGAGATAACTTGCTGCAACTCCAGGGCTAATTTTGCCCACGGTGTCACCCACCGATCAAAGCTTGCCACCTCCCCAAAGCCTTACTAACGCCACATGTAACATTCTTCCTTTTCATAAAATTGCCAGCCTTCTCTTTGTTCTTAAGTTATACTGAAGACCACCCAGTCTGCATGTGTGCCCTGAATTGCAATTCTTTTTTATTTTATTTATTTTTTTGAGACAGAGTCTCACTGTTGCCCAGGCTGGAGTGCAGTAGCGTGATCTCATCTCACTGCAACCTCTACCTCCCAGGCTCAAGCGATTCTCATGCCTCAGCCTCCCAAGTAACTGGGACTACATGTGCATGCCACCATGCCTGGCTAATTTTTGTATTTTTAGTAGAGATTAGTTTTTTCCATGTTGGCCAGGCTGGTCTCAAACTCCTGGCCTCAAGTGATCTGCCCCGTTCAGCCTCCCAAAGTGCAGGGATTACAGGTATGAGTCACTGCACCCACTTCTTGAATTGCAATTCTTTCTTCCCAAAGAAAACATTATATTTAGAGATTTGTCTCTACATTCGTTTTTTCTTTTTAAGACAGAGTCTCATTCTGTTGCCCAGGAGTTAGATCGAGTGGCGAGATCACGGAGCTGCTGCCTCCACCTTCTGGGCCTAAATGATCCTCCCATCTCAGCCTCCCGAGTAGCTGGGACTCCAGGTGGGACACCACCACACCTGGCTAACTTTTTATAGAGACACAGGGTTTCACCATGTTGCCCTAGCTGGTCTCAAACTCCTGAGCTCAAGGTATCTGCCCAACTAGACCTCCCAAAGCGCTGAGATGACGGGCATGACCCACTGCGCCCAACTGTACATTTGTATTTTTAGTTCAGCAGACGTGGTGTCAGAAGTGGACCCAAAGCTGGGTCACCTCAGCTTGGAATTCTGGTGTAAGGGACCCACAACAGGCCCTTTAAAGACCCTGCCTCACTTCCTTGCCCCCAGCCCTGGGAGTCTCTTGGACAGAACTTCAGGATTTGGTTTGAGTTCTGTTTTGTTTGGAATGTGGATGGGAAGGAGCCTTTCCCGCTTCTGTTTTTTAGATACCACGTGGGAAGGGTTATTTTCCTCCTGTTGGCCTCGCTGCAAGGTTTGGACCTCCAGGTTTGGAGGAGGAGATTTTTCCTCTCATTTGAAGAAGACTTATCCTTCCAGGTAAATACATTACTTTCCAACCGTGCTTATGTTTTAATTGGGCCTTCAGGTGCAGGGCGTTTGCATTTGACTGGCTTTGTGCATTTGGCATTAAACCAGGTCACAGTGTCTTCTCAGAATTCAAAAGCCTGCCAAGATAGCCCCCGCAGGGGACTCCAGCTGGCTATATGCTTAAGCATTATGGTCCATCACCACGGGTTTTCTTATCTCCTCGGGCCAAATTTGCTGAAGATGACCTGGAACTACAGTGGCCTTCCTGGGGGGTTCTTTTGACCTCTCTAAGTTAATCTCAGGAATACATTAGAAGCCACGGCTGTAAAACTAAGCAGCCTGGATGGAATGCATACCTTAATTGGCACATTGAGGTGTCTAAATGCAGTCAGAAATCAAAATTTGCCTTGCTTTAAAATACTGTCTCTAGTGCTCGCTTCGGCAGCACATACACTAAAATTGGAATGATACAGAGAAGATTAGCATGGCCCCTGTGCAAGGATGACACATTTTTATAAAATTTAAATATATATATATACACAGATATAAAATACTGTCTCTAAATTAATGGAGACAAACAAAAAAATAAAGCGAAAAAATGGCAGGGGCTGGGTATAGCGTCTCACACCTGTAATCCCAGCACTTAGGGAGGCTGAGGCGGGCAGAGGTCAGGAGTTTGAGACCAGCCTGACTAACATGGTGAAACCCCATCTCTACTAAAAAATAGAAAAAAAATTAGCCGGGCGTGGTGGCATGTGCCTGTAGTCCCAGCTACTTGGGAGGCTGAGGCAGGAGAATCGCTTGAACCTGAGAGGCGGGGGTTGTGTGAGCCAAGAACACACCATTGCACCACTCCAGCCTGGGCAACATAGTGAGATTTTTAAAAAAAAAAAAAAAAAAAAAAAAAAAAAGAAGGCTACTACAATTCTAAATCTTCAACTGCTACAACAGATCAATTCTCCCAGAGCAAACACCTGGGACTCTAAATGGCACAGCTCTAATCTAAGGGCACAGGACAAGGACCATGTCCTGGAAATTGTCACTGTTGTACACAGCCAGGCCATTGGAAGAAGGATTGTCCTAAACTTACACGAATTAGACAGTCTTCTTCACGTGATCCTCCAATTTCTCCCTCCAATGAAGGGGCTCCAAGGATTTACTTCATTATTTTCTCCAATCTTCCCTCTTAGTCACCTGGGGGAGACTGTTCTTCAAATTGGCAATGAGGTTCTATCTGTTCTCACAGACACAGAAGCAGTAATATCAGGGCTCAAGCCCACCAGCCTCAACCAGACCCTGCCACAGAGTAATACAATTCAAATTATTGGAGTCTGTAATAAACCATCGGTAGCCGTTTTTATTTTGTTTTGTTTTGTTTTTCACATGGAGTCTCACTCTGTCGCCCAGGTTGGAGTACAATGGCGTAACCTCAGCTCAGTGCAACCTCCGCCTCCCGGGTTCAAGTGATTCTCCTTTCTCAGCCTCCTGAGTAGCTGGGATTTAGGGTATGCACCACCACACCTGGCTAATTCTTGTATCATTTTTTTGAGGCAGAGTCTCACTCTTGTTGCCCAGGCTGGAGTGCAATGGCACGATCTCAGCTCACTGCAACCTCCGCCTCCTGGGTTCAAGCAATTCTTCTGCCTCAGACTCTCAAGTAGCTGGGATGACAGACATAAGCCACCAACTCAGCTAATTTTTGTATTGTTAGTAAAGATGGAGTTTTACCACGTTGGTCAGGCTGGTCTCAAACTCCTGACCTCAGGCTCCCAAAGTGCACCCAGCCCACTGGTAGCTTTTCTGTTGCAATCTATTACTTTCCACCTTGGACCTTTACAGGACACAAGACACCCATCCTTTCTTCCTGCTGGAGTCACCTCCAGCTCATTAACAAGGATGACAGTTTTTGGGTTTTTTTTGAGACAGGGTCACTCTTTCACCCAGGCTGGAGTGCAGTGGCATAATCATAGCTCCCCGTAACCTCGAACTCCTGGGCTCAAGCGATCCTTCTGCCTCACCCTCCTAAGCAGCTGGGACTACAGGTTCATGCCACCACACCCAGCTATTTTTTTTTTTTGGTAGAGATAGGATCCCACTATATTGTCCAGGCTGGCCTCAAACTCTACGGCTCAAGTGATCCTCCAGCCTTGGCATCCCAAATTGTCTTGTCAGACTAGATTTTTTTGAGAAATGCCATGTTGGTATCTCCTTCTCCCAAAAGGGGGAAATAATTCTAGAGTTTGATGAGCCTAATAGTTTACTGCGCTCCACCAATGATGTTCCACTTATTTGTCATGCTGTCCCATATGCCAGTCATCTCTGCTGACTTCCAAAATTCCCTATTTATCCCCCCCCAAAAAAAAAATACAAGAAGACACCTGTCTCCTCATGGGCCACATTGTCAACTGATGTCAGTAGGATTTATGGTGCACCCCAGATTAAGATCCAAATTAATCTCTCCAAGCCCTTGCCTAATACCAGTGTCGCTTGAGTCAATCTGCCTTACAAGGCATAAAGCCCATCATTGAAAAATATAAAACTGGAGGCTTAATAATTCTTTGTTCTTCTAGCCCTGTAATCCTCCCACTGCTCCAGTAAGAAAATCAAATGATTGAGGATGGAGATTTATTCAGAATCTCAGCCATAAATGATATTGTTCTATGCCATCATCCCATAGTTTCAAATCCACATGCCTCGCTGACCTCAATACCATCTGATAGTAAAGTTTACACTGTAATTTACACCTGTGGTGCCTTTTTTTTTTTTTTTTTTTGAAACGGAGTCTTGCTCTGTCACCAGGCTGGAGTGCACTGGCACAATCTTGGTTCACTGCAACCTCTGTCTCCCAGGTTCAAGTGATTTTCCTGCCTCAGCCTCCTGAGTAGCTGGGACTACAGGTATGTGCAACCACGCCTGCCTAATTTTTTTGTAATTTTAGTAAAGACAGGGTTTCACCATGTTGACCAGGATGATCCCCATCCCTTGACCTCATGATTCGCCCGCTTCGGCCTCCCAAAGTTCTGGGATTAGAAGTGTGTGCCCCTGCACGCGGCCTGTGGTACCTTCTTTAGCATCACGGTTGATCAAGACAGCCAATACTTATTTGCCTTCACCTGGAAAAAAATAGTCCGGTATACCTGGACTATTACGTCTCAAGGCCATACTGAAAGTTCTTCCTACTTCTCTCAAATTGGAAGGCTGATTTTGAAGATACAGCTTTTTCCCAAGGCTCATCCTTACTACAATATGTAAATGACTTATTTTTTCTCCCTCACAGGCAGTCTGCAAGGCAGACAGGGTACATTTATTTATTTATTTGAGATGGAGTTTCGCTCTTGTTACCCAGGCTGGAGTGCAATGGCGCGATCTCGGCTCACTGCAACCTCCGCTTTCTGGGTTCAAGCAATTCTCCTGCCTCAGCTTCCCAAGTAGCTGGGACTACAGGCACGCACCACCGTGCCCAGCTAATTTTTGTATTTTTAGTAGGGACGGGGTTTCACCTTGTTGACCAGGATGGTCTCGATCTCTTGACCTCGTGATCCACCTGCCTTGGCCTCCCAAAGTGCTGAGATTATAGGCGTGAGCCACCGCGCCCGGCCAGACAGTGTACATTTATTAAAACTCCCAGCCACCAAGGGCCAAAAGGTTTGTAAAGAGAAACTACAACTAGATAACACCCTAATTAAATATCTGGGTCATCTGATTTCTGAAGCAGGACTAGATTTGGACCCTGAACAAAATGCAAGGTGTTCTACAATCCCACCAGCCTCAAACTGAATGACAGCTTCGAGGGTTTTGTGGACTCACAGGATACTGCTGTAGCTGGACACCAAACTTCTCTTTGACAGCTTGACCCCTCCAAGCCCTACTTAAAACCTATAAACCTAATCAAATTATATGAGAAAAATGTCAAGATACTGCATTTATTAAATTAAAAGAAGGGCTTAAAAAAATTTTTTTTTTAGTCTCACTCTGTCACCCAGGCTGGAGTGTAGTGGCACAATCTTGGCTCACTGCAACCTCTACCTCCAGGGTTCAAGAAATTCTCCTGCCTCAGCCTCCTGAGTAGCTAGGATTATAGGCGTGAGCCACTGTGCCTGGGTAATTTTTTTTTTAATTGAGACGGAATCTCACTCTGTCACCCAGGCTGGAGTTCAGTGGCACCATCTCAGCTCACTGTAACTTCCGCTGTCAGGGTTCAAGCAATTATTATGCCTCAGCCTCCTGAGTAGCTGGGATTACAGATACACATCACAACACCCAGCTAATTTTTTGTATTTTTAGTAGAGGGTTTCTCCATGTTGACTAGGCTGGTCTTGAACTCCTGACCTCAAGTGATTTACCTGCCTTGGCCTCCCAAAGTGCTGGGATTACAGGCATGAGCCACCACACCCGGCTCTCCATGACTGTTTGACACGGACAATCATTTGATTCCTTGAAAAAAATTTACAAGAACGTCCACTAGATAATGCTGAACTAGCTGAACTATGAGTTATAGATGGATCGTATCTGAAAGAATCTGAAAGATGACAATGGTAAAAACTACAAGATACATAATTACTACTTCCTTTTTTTTTTCTTTTTTTTGAGACGGAGTTTCACTCTTATTACCCAGGCTGGAGTGCAATGGCGTTGCTCACTGCAACCTCCACCTCCTGGGTTTAGGCAATTCTCCTGCCTCAACCTCCTGAGTAGCTGGGATAACAGGTGCACGCCACCATGCCCAGGGTTTCACCATGTTGACCAGGATGGTCTCAATCTCTTGACCTTGTGATCCACCCGCCTCAGCCTCCCAAAGTGCTGGGATTATAGGCGTGAGCCACCGCACCGGCCAACTACTTCCTTTGAAGTCACTGAAGCCGCCCCTTATCTATGGCTACTTCTTTTTTTTTTTTTTTTTTTTTTTTGAGACGAAGTTTTACTCTTGTTGCCCAGGCTGGAGAGCAATGGTGTGATCTCAGCTCACAGCAACCTCCGCCTCCCAGTTCAAGCAATTCTCCTGCCTCAGCCTCCTAAGTAGCTGGGATTACAGGCATGCGCCACCACACCCTGCTAACTTTTTGTATCTTTAGTAGAGACAGGGTTTCTCCATATAGGTCATGTTGGTCTTGAACTCCCAACCTCAGGTGATCTGCCCGCCTCAACCTCCCAAAGTGCTGGGATTACAGTTGTAAACCACCACACCCAGATTTTTTTTTTTTTTAGATGAAATCTCTCTTTGTGGCCCAGGCTGGAGTGCAGTGGTGCGATCTCAGCTCACTGCAACCTCTGCCCCGTGGATTCAAGTGATTCTCCTGCCTCAGCCTCTCAAATAGCTGAGATTACAGGCGCCCACACCATCCTCGGCTAATTTCTTTTAGTATTTTTAGTAGAGATGAGGCTTTGCTGTGTTGGCCAGGCTGGTCTCAAACTCCTGACCTAAAGTGATCTGCCTGCCTCAGCCTCCCAAAGTGCTGGGATTACAGGTGTGAGCTGCTGTGCCCGGCCCCTGTGGCTACTTCTGCCTAACAAGCTAAACTCACTGCCCTTACCTGG